GTCTCTAGAAGTGATTGTGTTCCTTAATTCTTTACATCTGTTTGGCCTCAAGGCTCCGCTCCATGGCCAGTCCTCGTCACATCTCACTGCCATGCCAACATCGCTCATTTCAATGAAACAATTTCATCTGAGATCAAAGTCAGCTTTATTGTCAAAATGTCTAAATGTGTTATACATACAGATATCTTGAATTACGGTTTCTCGCAGTGCCACAGTGTGACATATATAAAACAAGATACAAAAAGGGCCTAGATAAACGAGGTATAAGACTAAGTAATAGTACTAATAAGTACTAGTTCATAATATATGTATTTTTTATAACACAATCCACAGAACATTAATTGAAATTAATGTAAGTATTATTTAGTGCAAATGAGAAAATTATGTTTAAAGTAAAGTTTCAGTGCAGTAGCAGCGGAGATGGGTAGAAAAGTGACTGGATGAGGGAAGGTTGTGTGTGTGTGTGTGTGGTGGGGGGGGAAGTTAAAGTCCAGGTCCATTTGGGGCAGGGGGTTGGTAGTGGGTTCTCCTGAAGTCAACAACAATCTCTTTTGTTTTCTACACGCTGAGGAAGAGATTATTTTGGCACCACAGGGCCAGCTGGTTCACTTCCTTCCTTTAGTTAGTCTCATCGTTGTGGCTGATGAGCATTCAGTTATTCTGCTCCAAATATCTGGAACAAACTCCCAGAAACCTGGGACTCTTACTACTTTTAAATACAGGCTTAGGACTTTTCTTTTTGCCGCTGCTTTTAATTGAAACTGAGCGGTTGTGTTTCGTTTTTGGTTAATGAACATTTGGGGCTAGTAGCCCCAGGGAATCAGTGTCTGGGGACTTTGTCCTGGCTGGTTTTCTCTGTGTATGCTGCTCGGGAAGTATATGCCATACAAGCGTACACAGCTCATGTTAGAAGAACCCTTAAAGAAAGGCATCAGTAAAGTTGAACTTCTGTGTGAACTATTCATATCTTAAACTGCACTGTAACTTTTTATTCATGTATTTTTTCTTATAATGTTTCTTTTATTATCTTTTCTTTTTAATGACTGTTTTTAAATGCCTTTGTCTGAATGTCTTTCATTTTTGTAAAGCACCTTGAATTGCCTTGTGTTAAAAGGTGCTATATAAATAAACTTGCCTTGCCCTGCACATACTGATTCTCTAAATAGAAAAACATAGAATAAAACCTCCGGCACAGAGCGCAAAGAAACACTGTTATCTTCCCTGACTTTTTTGAGAAAATACAAACATTCCACCCACATCCAAAAACAGACAATGGCACGGCTGACCTCACACTGTTGGTCAGGTTATCCGCACATTGACAGGACAGCTCAGACATTATACACACAACAACAGTCACTTCAACAGACAGACACACATGCACGAACATACACAGCCATTTCCCGTAATAAGTGCTTATCCTAGTGTCCTTTCTTTTCTCTCGTGACTACACACAACTCTCCCTCCCCCTCACATGCACTTGCACACATGCACAATAGCATATGTACACTCACAGACACACAGACAGCTGTGAAGGATTCAAAGAGCTGGGTCATGAACATAAAAACAAACCCACTCATGCTGAGGAAATTGTTAAGGCCTGGGGAGAAAGAGAGAGAGAAAGAGGGACAGAGAGCGGGACACAACTCTGAAGCAGGGTAACTCCCTCCTTGGTCTTTTTCATAAGGCGTAGGACGGACAAAAGAGTACACCCAGCAGGCTTTCAGCACGGGCAGTAAAGCCAAAGCTCTCTCAACCGGGATTTCATTTCCAGCAGGATCAAGAGTTTAGTCAGTTTGCAGTTCATCTTTTACAGTGAGCTGCACCACCAATCGGGTTAGTAAAAAGAAGGAGACACAACAAATGTGTTTTTTTGGCTGTTAAAATCTGGGGAGGACTTTCAGTAGACAGAGAAAGCTACAGAGTGAAAGCTCCCAAAAGACGACAGGGATAATCTGAAGGGCGATACATATAATACAGTCCAAGGTAAGGCTACATGTCTATGTTGTGTTGTACAGTACGTCTTTGTTGTGCATGTTCTTTTGGAGTTGACACCCAACATCTGTGGGAGGATTACTCCCGTTTTTAAAGCAGAGAGGATTAGAACCATATCTGCATTTAGTGTGTAACACATAATTCTGCAACTATTCTGCAGTCGGTTCACTGACAAACCTGGGGAGATTGTTTTTTAATGCCTGACAAAACTTGCTGCTTGATTCCTGTTAAAGGGAGTATTTCATAGCAAGGAATCTCTCAAAGGCACACTTTAACCACTGCTTTCTCACTTTGAACACGTTACCTTTATTTATACTGTCTATGGTCGATACCTTTAGGCAACCATGCACGCTGGAAGATACCACCGGAGCAACATCCTCCTGTTTACATTGGCTTTACTGGTCCTGTTGGAGGTGTACAGCATCCGGGGCTGTCGTATAGGCTCAGGCTCAGAGTGTGAGAAGGCCCCTTTTGTCCCGGGCCACAACTTGGCTGGGGAGGGTTTTGATGTGGTGCGGATGCGTCGAACTGGGGCATACGTCATCAATGTCAAAGCTCATCTGGCCGACAACCACACCTGTACACTGTGTCCAAACCGCTTCCAAGACGGACAGGTGAAAACTCCAAAACTCAGCCTTCACTTTTTAATGGTGTCTTCAATCAATCTCAATTCATTTCACCTAATTCTTACCAACAACTCTCTTGTGTTCCTTCTTCCCTGTGCTGTACCCATCATCCTGCCTTCTCTCTCCCCCTCAGATTCAGAGGCTCCCAGCTGCAGTGCTCGACTGGCGTCCCTTCAGCCGCTGCAGTAAGCAGCTTTCCAGTGCCCTCCACCACTCTGTGGAATCCCTGCTGCGCAGCTCCAACTCGCTGGTTAACAACAACTGGGGCCTGGGTCTTAGCTTAGATAATATTGGCAAGGCAGTGCTGGGAGGAAGCCGCTCAGACTTGGCTAAATTTGCTCGTTCGCAGCATAGTGTGGACAAGGCCACGTTTGCCACCCATGAAATCAGTTGCACCTACTACAGGTAAAGAGAAGGGAGGCTGGTTAAACTGGTGCTTAGTAAGTATACACAATTTGATGATGTGTAAATACCTGGATTCATTCATATGCAGCAAGGCCAGTAGCCAAATTAGTATTACAGTACATGCAATCTGCAGATACTAGCTTTTAATGTTTTTCCTGTATTTATAGAAGGCAAATATATGTTTTCCATATACACTGTAGGCCAAAGATATGTGCAGATGTTTTTTTCGTTTTTCTTTAAAAAGACTTTAGATTAAAGTCTTGTTGTGTTATGGTTGAACTGCACATGCCTTTTGTTTTTTCAGCTACAGGCTGGCTGATCACCCCCAGCTGAGTGCAGAGTTCACAAAGCATCTAAAGAGACTCCCACAGAGCTTTAATACGACCAAGAACAGAGCCCTATACAGACGGCTGATAGACACCTATGGAACACACTACATACACCAGGTCAGTGGAGAACAGTGTTATTTTTCTGTCTTGGTACTTGTGCTGCAGAATGTCTTTACAAAGAAATTGCAAATACTGCTGAAGATAAGGATGCAGGGTGGATATGATGAACATTTTCATATTTGTTCCGTCTCCTAGGTCCAGCTTGGTGGCAAGGTGAGGCGAATCACTGCCTTCAGGACCTGCCTGGCCACTCTGAAAGGGTTCTCCGAGTCCGACATCAAAAACTGCCTGAACTTTGAACTCCGAATGGCTCTAGGTTTCCTCCCTGGCAATGTATCCTTATCCAACAATTGCGATAACCTCCTGAAAGGTAACATGAGTATGGGCTTCTACCAAGGCTTCATGACCCATAAGATTGAGGTTATCGGAGGGGAGAGGTACTTCCCTGACATCCTCTACAAGGAGGACCCATCTGAAGCATACCAGAGCTGGATGAACAGCCTCCACGATAATCCAGACGTGGTTTCTTATGCCATCTTCCCCCTGCATCATCTGGTGGATGACTCACAGATCAGTGATAATCTGAGAAGCCTTGTCACAGAGTATATTAAAGATAACCAGCTGCAGGAGGCAGTGCTTGGTTTGAAGAACTGCTCCCCGACTTCCAACTTGGACCAAAACTGCTGCCCTCTAAGAGCCGGCAGAGGAACGCTCAGGCTAGAGATCCACAGAGCGGCAGGCCTGAGGGCAGACACCTTCACAAAAACCGACGCCTACGTTAAGATCTTCTACAATGGCATGTACGAGGAGACGGAGACAGTGATGGACAACAACGACCCGGTGTGGAACGTGACTTATGACTTTGGATCGGTAGAACTTGGTCAGGCGTTGAGGTTTGAAGTCTGGGATCGAGACGTTCTCTACAATGATGTAGCGGGTAGATGTGTTGTCTTCCCTGAGCGAGGAACTCACTCTCTAAGCTGCCAGCTGAGCAAAGGAGTACTCTATTTCACCTACACCATCAAATGTGATGCTCACTTGACAGGCTTCAGATGTGGACGATATTCCCCCAATGCTGAGTAATTATTAGATCACAATGCGTTAATGTAGATTTGAGCATTTCCTTCATACAAAAAGGGGCACTTTTAATTATCAAATGTCTTTCAGTAGCAGCTAGTAAACTGCAATGTCCTATGTTTTTTTTTAACTGTAATGATTTGTCAACATTTTTAATGCCAGAACAACTCCCCCGATATGAAATGCCACTTCAGTAGGTTTTGGTAGGTTGTTTCCGGAGTCATCGTCAGTAATAACTTACGAAAGTCAAAGTTCTTGTGCATCGAATGCACAAACCAAAATAAAGATTGTCGCCTATAGTTGTCTTAAGTCTGATACAATTACATATATCAATAATGCATTGATAACCAAAAGGGCTACACACAATCACCATTTCAAGTAGCAGATGCACCATATACATTTTTTGTTGTTCTTTGTAACTCTTCACGTTACATTATTTAAACACTTTCTCCCCCTCTTTCCATTTGCGGGTTTTCCTGATTAAACAATGTAGGCAGGACCACACAACCAATTATTCAATTTTTTTATTAATCACTTTTAAACAGCGACCTTAGAAACATACAAATTACTTATTAAAGCTTTTACACTCACAATACATTAGCCACTTTGAATACAGTACATGGATGCAGCAGCTGTTTGTTCAAATCCTTTCCTCCTTCACTGAGCTCAAGATATTTAAAAAAGGAGTAGAAACAGCAGAGAAACCAATTAATGCACCGTTAAAACATTCTATTTCACATTTTTCTAGTTTTAAACTAAAAAAACCTGGAATAATTGCACCGACTACAACCACGTTACGTCTGTATACAAATGTAATTCGATCTTTGCCAAGAAAGGTGAAAACTGGACAAATAACAGAATTCAATTAATCAGATTCTTGGTTGACTTTCTGATGAAAAACTGCCATCTTGAATATGGTAACACAGCAAATTAATGTAAATGGGAACAATTCATGTAGTTTTCTAATCTGCTGCTGTGGACCAAATAAGCAAAACACATTTGATGTAAAGAACTCTTCTTTTTAGAAGCCGGCAACTAAGAGCGGTACATTAGGCCCAATGCAACACTGTCGGGTAGGAAAAATGTTAAAAGATCTTTCATCCTACATCTTCTGTACTAGAAGTTCAACATTTCCTCCATCCAAGAGCGCCAGTATGCATCATTTACCCAATCAGCATACACCACCTTGATGTGAGTATCATGATATAAGACTGCATGTGTTCTGGGAACTTAGAACATTATTTTGTTCGAGTGCAGTGTACTCCAACACTTGCTGCATTACTAATGGTTTGATCTGAAATTCTTAACCCTTTCTTTCAAGTTTTAACAGAGAATCCTTGTGTAACATATGCAAACATTAAGAAGGCAGCATTTTAGTTGTGCCTCTATACTGCTCTCGTATTTAAAGTAGGAACAACTGATGTGTTTGCATGTAAAAAAACAATATTTTAGGCACAGCTCATCCATGTAGATTAGATCTTAATATCAGAACTTTTTTCTCTTTAATGGTGGGCATATGGTTCTCAGTAGTTTTCCAGTATCGATACAAAAAATGTATTCAGTCAAAACACTGAAGTCTGCCCAGAATCACAGGGATGCCATCAAAAGTCTATTTGTTCAGGCTCAAGGTTCATCACTTTGTGTATCACAGTCCCAGTGAGGCTTTGAGCAAAGACGCCATATCTTCTGGTATGGTCCCCTCACCACCTGAAGAAGACACCATTGTTTATATTTTTGTCTTATTTGCATATCATTCAAAAGGTTAGGATAAAACCACGTCCCCTGATTCACTGTGTGCCCAGAAATATGGCTGAGACACAGATTGGTCACTGCTCTTAAGCTTTTGATGTATTGCCTGCAAATCTACGCCAACGCAAGTAGGCACCTGGAAGTTGCCTTACATCTTTTCGGATCCACATTTTTCATACATAGCTTTACTTTATCTATTCAATGTTTAAATTGTTTATACATATTGTAAGGCAAGTATTATTTCTATATATATAAATAAATAGTTATTTCTGTATACACAACAGTCATTGCATGCCTGTAGGACCTGATAGAAGTTATTTTTTTCATGCTTTTCCTGAACTACTATGAACATATTATCAATCCCAGAAATGTTCTGGAACAGTTACAGTTTAAAGAAACCTGCTCAAACTGTATTTGCACTCAATCATTTCAATCCTTCTTACATTTGGAACTGACGTTTGTTTTTTGAGTATAACATTCATTTTGATATACCATTTTTCTTTCCCAACAAGTAATTCTCGGCATCTCTGCAGAGTTTAGGACATTTCTTTATTGTTGGAAAAGCAGTGCTGGAATCCGCTCGTCCTCATTCCTTACCTGCTGTCATTGATTTGTTAAGTCTGATATTTTTAGAGTAAATTTGTGCTATAGCCTTGGCCCAAATGACAAATCATTACTGCTTTTTTGTTGTCATTTGGATTATTTAGGTTACATAATCAAATAAAAATCTGGAAGATGCCTTCATTGCTAAGATTATGACCATGCGGTCAATAAAGCATATTTATGTGTAGAAATCTCCTTACCTTCAGCAGCGGTCATGTCCTGTTCCAGCTTCAGTTTCCTCTGGCCCAGCTGCAGCATGATGGCCTCTATGCTGTCCTTGCTGATCAGCTTCTTCACCTGTACAGTCCTGATACCAACAAAGAGCTATATTAGTCATTCAGGAAATCAATAGGTGAAGCATTGCTCTGGAAGGAGGAGGTCCTGTGTTTTCAAAGAATACTGTGTTATCAGTCAAATTGCTGATATAGTAAGTTGTAACTAGACCTCATTGGATAACACTCCAATAAACAAATACATAAATCCAATCTTACTTGGTCTGGCCTACGCGGTGACATCTGTCCTCTGCCTGTTTGTCATTGTAGGGATTGCAGTCAATGTCATGTAGGATGACAATATTAGCGGATGTGAGGTTGATGCCCAGGCCACCAGCACGTGTTGACAACAGGAACACAAATATGTCAGGATCCGTGTTGTACTCATCAATCAACCCAATCCTGCAGGAAAAAGAAACATTTTAATTAAAGACTGTTTATTATTAGCAGCTACAATTAAACATGTGATAGACTTACTGAATCCACTGAAGTCTAACCAATATCTACACATTTTAATAGGATTGTGTTTCATATTTCTACTGTAAAACACTGACCTGTCGGCTATGGGTGTGGATCCATCCAGTCTGACATAACGATGCTTAAGATGTCGCATCAGCACCTCGACAATATCCAGCATCATGGTGAACTGACTGAATAATACCACTCGGTCACCCTGTAACGTAGTAGAAAAGTGTTGGTACATGATAAGATGTTTACTCTTCAATACATGCATCTGTGCTCTTCCTGCATGCACCACAGACATGGTTCTACACATAATTATTTACCTTGTTTTTATGTGAGGCCAGCAGCTCTGTGAGGAGGTGAAATTTCCCTGAGTCAAGCAGGAGTTCAGTTTCAAGCTGGTAAGAGCCGATGGAGGAGAACTGCTTGCACAGCAGATGTAGCTCAAAGTCTGACATCGCTTCCATGTCCTCCTGGATCAGAACAGCGTTTGCATCGAAGTGAGTTGGCTCCTGTGGGGGGAGGGAAGAGAACGTTTGTTTTAGAAGAGGCAGAAAACAAGGGGTAGGAAAAGAAAGTGGTACGAAAGGAGGGGTCAAAGGACAGATATACAAATGGAATCACAAATAAACAAAACAAAGAACATGGAGGCCATACGACCCAGCGGAAAAGACATCCCGGCATTCGGACCCACCTTGAGCATGAGTTTGCTCATTGCTTTGAGCTTTTCTGTGGTGTAGTATTGTCTATGAAGCAGAGGGTGGTTGGCCATTTTCCTCAATTGCATCATCACATTACACAACTCGCGCTCTGCAGAGAAAAACGCACGAGGACAATTATTAACCATACATTTATTTGTTATCTGAGAAAAATACCGTAACACTCAGATGTTCAACAGGTAGCAGTAAAACAGGCTTACTCTCTCCTATAATGGTAGTCTTGAGTTTTTTGAACATGTTCTGGTAGAGAACCTCCTGCTTCTCACTCATTGGGCAGTACTCGACCTTCTCCACCTTGGCTGGCAGCTGCTTGAGGACCTGAAACAAAATAAAGTACATTACATATTTACAATACTTATGCAGGGTTTGAACTACAATTACCCTCATGTGACCGTCATTTAGCAAATAGAGACGTTCTACAAAATCTATGTTTGCACATTGGCAAATGCTAAAGTGTGTTTAAGACAATTGATTCTTCCCTAACAGAAGGAATCAACATGTTCATTGGAGTCTACTATTTCAGTTCATAGCTGGATGCAGGGAAAGCATTTCATTTATTTGCCAATATTTTACATCAGGTTTTGAGACGAAAAACTGAAGATCCTGCCAGATTTACCCACATAACAGACTTCTCACAGTCATTAGATTTACACAACACAAGTGTGTAGCTTTAACTCACCTCGCTCTTGACTCTTCGGAGGATAAAAGGTTTCATGATGAGTTTCGCCTGAGAAATACGGTCCCTTTCAAAGCGGCTCTGCTCCTCATGGGATTTCTGTAACCAAACAGAAAACTTTGACTCCTTTGGTAGTTGGCATTACATTGTCCTGGTCTGGTTTAGTGAAACAATAGCTGCTGTTTTTTTAAAGTTTGATTTGAAAAAGGGACTCAAAGAAACCACAGATAAGTTGTCAAAGTGAAGATCACTTCCTTCAAGCAGCCTGTTTAGTCAGGTGTTGTTTTAATCCAGGGGTGGGGAACCTCCGGCCCCTGGGCCGTATACGGCCCGCGAGACAATTTGGTAAGGCCCTCGAGGTAATTTATAAACACAACACACACAAAAAATAGTACAAAATTAGAGAAATCTAGACCGCAAAAAAATTAAACAAGCGAGTGCCTGTTTTTCCTAGCCAAGGTCAGGGTCCTTGAACACAACACAAGCCTAACGTGTCATCACGTAGCATATGTCTCGTATGATAGGGGTGCAGTTCTTACAGAGAGCACCAGAACGCCACTCCGGCACTTCCAAAATATGGAATGATCATTATAGTTATAAAAAAAGAAGAGAATAAAGTAAACATGATGTTTACTTTATTCTCTTCTTTTTTTATAACTATAATGATCATTCCATATTTTGGAAGTGCCGGAGTGGCGTTCTGGTGCTCTCTGTAAGAACTGCACNAATCGTACTTAAAGGTGGGGTAGGTAAGTTTGAGAAACCGGCTCGAGATACACTTTTTGTTATATTCCATGGAATGCTCTTAACATTCCGATAGCAATGAATATCTTAAGTGCTTTGACAAAAAATACATAAAAGGGTTAGGGTTAGGCCCGGCTAAAATAACTGGATGGCCTACCTGCCTGTCAGCCTTCCATCTGTGCACAAACTTATCTCGTGCCCTCATTGGTCATGTCTGTGTGTGTTGGAGGAGGGGCTCTGTAAGGAAGTCTGAAGGAAGGGGCAGATTTTTTCCGGTTGTGTACTTTCAAACTCTAACGCACTCGAGCTGGTTTCTCCATTCTTACCTAACCCTACATTTTAAGGATGACATACAGTATGTGTTGTTTATTTAATTGTTGAATCCATTTCTTGTTCTCAGTCAGTTACCATTTATCTTTCAGTAACCAGCTCAAACCCTATCAGCTGATTGGTCTAAAGTGGATGCTGCTTATGTATGAGCACAAACTGAGTGGGATCCTCGCTGATGAAATGGTAAGACATCCAGCCTTCATGAGATGTTGATCAAATTCCTAAACATATAAATGTTAACATTTTCTAAGCCAGCAGGACGGCGGGGGCTTACAACTTGTCACCACTCAATGAGTGTTACTGTGCCACTATCAAAGAGTGTTTAGTCTGGATATGTAGCCATCCTGCAGGTGAAACAAAATGTAGAAAAGGAGAGGACATGCAGCAGACAGTTCATCCTGTTGATTTAGTCCTAAGACGGTTAAAGAAGTAAGAACCTTTTATTTGTGTGGAGGTGTTGACATCTGTCAAGGTTTTTGCTGCTTGTGTGATCTGAAACGCAGATGTTCAAATATCTTTTTTGTATGTCCGCCTGGCTCTTTGTTTACCTCTTTATCTGTGTTTGTTATCTGACTGTATTTCTCTCTCTCCTTCGCTCAGGGTTTGGGGAAAACTATCCAGGCTATAGCATTTCTGGCCGAGCTGTACCAGATGGGAATAGAGGGTCCTCACCTCATCATTGTGCCAGCCTCCACCCTGGGTAATGATCCTAAGCACTTTGCTACCTTCCTGAATATTGTGTCATTTGAACAACACACTTTTAGATTATAATGTTAAGCGTAGCTGCATGTGGTTTTTATTTTTATGGAAGAGGACCAGTAAGAAATACAGTTGTCAACTTTTGTGTTGCTTTGGTGTATGTAAACGTTTGTTTGAGTTTGCCGTTGATACTACCTTTGGTGGTTTCCTTTTCTCTGTGTTGCAGATAACTGGGTCAGAGAGATGAAGCTGTGGTGTCCAAGCCTCAAAGTTGTAGTCTATTGTGGTATGACTTCTCTTTCATCTTTTCACATTGAAATCTCTCCTATGGTTTTCCATGAACCTCGCATATGTGTGAACTGTGTTTAATGTTATCAATCATAGTTTTGTATGCAGTACTGCTGTTACAGTATACAGTCTTATTCAGGGACATGTTTACGCAGGATCCTTAGAGGACCGCCGCTACCTCAGACACGATCTCCTCGATGACAAGACTGAATACAACGTCATTGTGACCACGTGAGCAAACCCACTCTCTCAATCATATTTGACAGATTTCAGTGCTGGTGGTGGAAATAACTTTTCTCCTACACCTCAACATAACTCAACATTGTTTTATTCTATATTGCTTGTTTGATTTGTTTTACAGATACAACATGGCCATAGGAAACGATAACGACCGCGGTTTGTTCCGTAAACTGCGCCTGAAGTATGCATTGTTTGATGAAGGTCACATGCTGAAGAACATGAACTCTCTTCGATACCGCCATCTTATGTCTATTAATGTTAGTTAACTGATGTTTTTTACAACCACAATCAGCATGTTTCTGTGGTGTCTCCATTTCTGTCCAAAGTATTGCACATCACAGTGTGGGATGTCTCTTTCTCCCTCTTTCGCTCTGTAGGCAGAACATCGCCTGCTGCTGACTGGAACTCCTCTACAGAACAACCTCTTGGAGCTCATGTCTCTTCTGAACTTCATCATGCCTTCTTTGTTCTCCAGCTCCACTCACCAGCTCTCCAAAATGTTTTCAATGGTCAGTGTTTGTGTGAAAACCCTGTTCTGTTTGAAGCCAAATAACAAAAAATAACTGCACGCCAACCAGATGGGAAAAACATGGTGTGACGGCTTTAAATGCTGAAACGCTGGTCAGATTAAATCAGGGGTGGGGAACCTTTTTCCTCTCAAGGGCCGTTTCAATTTTTACAACATCCTCCGAGGGCCGTACAAGTTATTGACCTCTGCTTAAAAATACTAAAATCACTGCCCATTCACTGCCTTTCTTTCATGCTGTGCAAAGAAAAAGCAACCTCTTAATCCAGATATCTTACCATGACTCGAGTATGCATTCACGTGCACGGTTTTGGCATGAACACCAAAACAGAAAGATATGGACACAAGATGTGTGCAAATGTATTTAGTTTCTTATCCATGTGGACATGATTTAAGTGAGGGGGGGGACCTAACCTCCTGTAGGGGGATCCGGGGGGCATGCTCCCCGGGATTTTTTTATTATTTAAATGTTGAAGTTAAAAGCATCAATCTGGTGCACTTTGAGAGCAACATGAGGAGATCTATGGATACATCTCTCAACACCCATATGAAACAGAACTGTGAGCAGATTTATTTTTCTTTATGGATATTTTACAAATCACTCCCCATTCAAACTGTATTCTTGTTTATTAATAACAACTTTTATTTA